CACAGCCACTACAAGCTCCACCATGCTAGCGCTCCTCCTCACCCCTGGACCCCCTTCCTCAACTGTGACCCAGATCCAAGCAGGGGCAAAACAAGAGATTCCTGCTTCAGCACTGGCAAAGAGATCCCTGCAATCCCTCTTTGATCAGCCACTGGATTCCCCCTCAGTCTGTGGGCCGGAAGCTCAGGAAGCAGGTGCCCCCCCCCAGGACCAAGCTCTTGGGGAATGGATCTGAGACCCTGCCTTCCTTTCTCAGCACCGACAGAAATAGATTTTTCCCACTGTCCTCCTAAGTTGTTTTTGGCATTCGTGGATTGAGGAGTCTGGAAACCTCCCCTGCTGCCCATGATTCAGTCCTCTGAGGCCTGCTCCGGGTTCGATGCGGCTTGTGCGCCCATGCCACGCTGCACTCCCAGCCCTGCATAATACACCTTTCTGATCAATCATCCAGGTTGTCTTAGGCTGGAAACTTGTCTTGCTCTGCCTTTTTGTGGGTTCTGCTGCTTCAGAATTTGTTTAGAGCCATTTTTTATGAGTATTTGGTGGGGTTTGGGGGAGAGCTCAAACAAGTCACTGTTTTCACTCCACCATCTTGGCTCCACCCCCCAACTGTTTACATTCCTACAAGGAAAGATGACACTCGTAACTCTTGAGAACTGTATTGTTATTACACCATGTTAAAGGGGTATACATAAAGGGGGTGAGCATACTTTGACTTTGATGTAATGATGTAATGAGGTAATAATGAAAAATCTAATCAAGTGGGTTAAATGGACCAAGTTAGTGAATTAATCTGATCTAACCAAGAAAATGTACTGAGAGAAAAGGAAAGGAGGAGGCAGACAAGGGTAAATTACATCACAGGAAAAAGCACAAAAACCTATTACAGCAGAGGGAAAGAAGGGAGAGAGATGAGCATTGTTTGAACCTTACTCTTATCAGATTTGGCTCAAGAAGGGAATAACATAATCAGTTAGGTATAGAAATCTAACATGCCCTATAGGCAGTAAGAAGGAAAAAGGAAAAGAAAAGGGAGGGGGCTAATAGAAGGGAGGTGGGACTGAGGGAGGCAGTGGTGAGGAGGGAAAAGGAGAAAGAAAAGCATAAAGGGGGGGAGGGATGGAGAGAAAGACACAGATAGTAATCATAATTGTGAATGTGACATATGAATGTAATGGAATACTATTGTGCTATGAGAAATAATGAACAGACCAACTTCAGAATAACCTGGAAAGACTTCTATGGTTTGATACTGAGCGAAGTGAGCAGAACCAGGAGAATGTTGTAGACAGTAAGAGCCACATTGAGTGATGACTGACTTTGATAGACTTAACCCCTTTCAGCAATACAAAGATCTAAGACATCTCCAAAAGCCTTATGATGGAAAATGCTATCCACATCCAAAGAAAGAACTATGGAGTTTGAATGCAGATTGAAGCATACTATGTGCTTTTTTTTTCCTCTTCTGTTGAGTTTTGTTTCCTCATTCTGGTGGTTCCTTCTATTAGTTCTAATTCTTACTTACAACATTACTAATGTGAAAATATGTTTAATAGAAATGTATATGAATAGCCTATATTAGATTGCACATCATCTTGGGGACAGAGGTAAGGAGGGAGGGGGAGAAAAATTTAAAACTCAAAAGCTTATGGAAGTGATTGTTGATAAATTAAAATAAATTAATAAAAAAATTTTAAAAAAAGAAATGAGCAAGTGGTCTTCAGAAAAAGCCTGGAGAGACTTACATGAACTAATGCTGAGTGAAGTCAGCAGAATCAGGAGAACATTGTGCACAGTAAAAGCCACATTATACAATGACTAATTTTGATAGACTTAGCTCTTCTTAGCAATGCAAAGCTCTAAGACAACCCCAAAAGACTCACAATGGCAAATGCTATCCACATCAGAAAAAGAACTATGGAATTTGAATGCAGATGAAAGCATATTGTTTGTTCGCCTTTTGTTGTTGTTTTTGTTGTTTCTTCTTTCTCTTGATTCCTCCCATTGGTTCTAATTTTTCTTTACAAAATGACTAATGTGAAAATATGTTTAATATGAATGTATGTATAGAGCCTATATCAGATTGCATGCTGTCTTTATGTGAGGAGGGGAGAGATTGGGAGAAAATTTGGAGCTCAAAATCTTATGGAAGTGACTTTTGAAAACTAAAAATAAATTAATGAATGAATAAAATATAAATTAAGTCTATAAAGCAAAAAAACAACAAAAAAACCAAACTAGTGTCCACACCAAACTACAAACTTCCTTTTGGCCAGATATCATTGCCATGTGACATCTGGGGTAATATCTCTTTGGCAGAGATTATTGCCTTGGGATATCTTGGTTGTTAATAATAATAAGAGAGATTCAAATCAAAATAAATATTGTTTCACCTCTTACCCAGTAAATTGAGGAAGATAACAAAAAACAGGAATAGTTAATGTTGTATGGATTGTGGAATGACATGTACTTTGTTGGTGGAGCCGCGAACCATTTTGAAGGGCACTTTGGAATTATGTGTGGAGAATGATAAATATATCCATACCCTCTTTACTAATAGATATTGCTGCTAGATATATACAACAGGGAGGTTAATAACAAAAACAAATGCCCCAAATAGTGGAAGATATTTACAATAGTTTCCTTTTGTAATATCAAAAAACTGGAAAGAAAGTAGTTGCCTCTAGATTTAGGAATAACTAAACAAGGTATGGATCATCAATATAATGGGATGCTTTAAGAATGATGAATGTGATGAATACAGAGAAATATGGGTAGACCTAGAAATTGATTATAAATAAAATATTCATGGAGGAAGGGGTAAAATGGCAGTGTGAGAGGAGACATTTTTTGCCTAGTTATATTTATTCAACTCCTCTGTGATAACATAAGCAAATATGCCAAACTGAATTCTGATTAAAAAAAAGAAATGCCACAGTGAGTCATTTTTCCAGCCCAGGGCAGACTAAGAAGACAGACATACAGTTCTGTGGACATTGGGGTGGGGGCTGACCAGGAACACAGCAAGGTGTCAGTGGCAACCATGGCAGGACCTAGAGTGGTAAGGAAACTGAGATCGAACACCAAGGGAAGGAAGCACTGGGGCAAATGGAGAACACAGGGCACTTTTGAACTAGTGCTGAGAGTAAGAACATATGCCATCTGGAAGTTCTGCCCCCAGTTACCCAGTTCCAGGTTACAGTTTTAGGGCACAGAGGAATGAACAAAAGGCATGGGGCTCTAACTGAGTACTGAAAACAAAGCAAGTTCCAGAAACTTACCTGCATGACTGTGAGCCCTGGAGCAGAATGGCAGCTCAGTTGTAACCCTTAGCAGAGCATGTAAGACTGCAGTACAATAACTAGAGTAAGAGATAAAGATTAAAGGGGAACCAGAAGTTCAGTCACTCTGAGATTGCAGAAAGTCCCAGTAGGCTAGCAATGACTGAGTTTAGTGGAATCTTTTGAAACCCAACAATGCACAACGCAATAGAACCAAACCTGGATCAGGCACTTACAAAGGTCAGACCGTAAGTCATACATACAGAAAATAATTTCTTGAAAGCACTTACAAAATCTGAAAGAACAATGCAGACACAACCCCAATAAAAATTCCTAGGAGAACTAAGGAAGAATTTTTTTAAAAAGCAAAACATGACTTTAAAAACTAAAAAAGCAGTAGAGAATAAATGAAAAAAATGAGAAAAGGAATGAGATCAATGCAATAAAGTAATAAAAAGGGAATTAATTAATAGGCTAAGTGGAATATTAAAAAATTACTTAACTAACTTCTTCAACTACTCCTTACATTTGCCAAAGGAAGTTAATAACTTCATGAGATATCAAGAAATAATAAAACAAAGCAAAAGACAGAAAAATAGAAGAAAATGTGAAATATCTGACAGGAAAAACAACTGACTTGGAACAAAGATCAAGGAGAGATAATTTAAGAATAACTGGAATACCTAAAAGGCATTAACAGAAAGTGAAGCAATCAGAACCTAAAATAAATAATTTCCATAATAAGTAAAACTCTGTAAATAAAAAGGAAAACAAAAGGAAACTAAATGTTCCAAAATTATAATGATCAATTTTGGCTGCAAAGAAGACATATGTGAAGGGAACTCCTGATTTCTTTGCAGTAGAGGGCTTCTATGAGTGTGGAACATCATAGGTATTGGTCCTCAATAAGAAGGATGGCTCTCATGGTGGTGGAGTGGGGAGATGGAGGACAGGGATACATTGGAAAATAGTAACATTTTGTGATACAAAACCAAAGTATATCAATGAGCTATACTGGTAGAATGATTTTCATATCTGGGAGCACTCTACACCCTTAAATTCAAAGATAAAGACTAAAAAAAGAATGTCCTTAGAATGTTTTATCGTGTACTACAAAGCACTACAAAGGAGATTGTGTCCAAATATTTCAGTTTCTCCAGTGCCTGGAACTGTACTCTGCAAACAGTAGATACTTAACAAATGTTTATTGAATTTCTAAAACTACACAGAAAGCTTTGAGATAGTGATGAGAAATATTTCTTCATTTGGACACTCTTTCCACATTACCTAAGACAAGACTGCATGTACTTTAGGTGCTTTGGCAAGTTTCAACACTTTTTAAAATGGTGAACTCAGTGTAATCCTTTCTGAGAAGTTAATTGCCTGATGGCCACAAGGACAAAAAAAAATAGGAACTGTATGCTCCAGACAGACATAGGTTTGATCCAAAGAAGCTGGCCAAACCTGACAGTGGCTGTTGATCTTGGAAATTTGCATTTCAGAACTATTAATTTTTTGTTGGCAAAAACGGCTTTACTAATCTGTCCTTGGAATCTTTGGCTAGCAGTTACTCACTGGCTTGTGACTCTGAATAAAGTATACTTTGAAGGATTAGCGTCCCCTCGGTGCCACATCATCAGGAGCCCGCCCCAGAATAAGGTATAAAGGCAGCTGACCAGAGGGCCAGAGAATCCTCAGACATTCAGGTACTGCTGAAACATCAAAGACAAACCCTTCAGAATATGAAGATTCTGCTGCTGACTGTGGGGCTGGCCCTGGTCTGTGGCCTCCAGGCCCTCGATAATAATACAGAAGGCTCACCAAAGGTAAGTGAGCAAGACTGAGCACTAGTTGATAGAGTGGTCCAGCAATGGTATGAGGATAACGCGTAAGGAAAACAGAGTATCTTTGGGTAGAACAAAGCACAAATAAGGCTTGCAGGTGAAAGGAAAAGATGTGCATTTGTGTCTTCTCACTCAAAACTGTCCTTCCCAATAGTTGTCACATTGACCAGAGATTAGTCAGAAGAAAATATGAAATTACACATGAATATGTGCCCACGTCCTATTTCTTTTATATATCTAGTATAAAAAATGGCCCCAAACTCTCATTCATCACAGCATAAACCCATAGAACAGATTCTGCATCTAACAAACAAAGGGTTACACAGGATTATCTATAAAAAGTTTTCTCTCTCTAAGATGCTGAAATCCTGAGATGTCATTCCTTAAAAAACAAACAAAAAAACTGCAGTTGAAATCTATGACCTCTGCTTCTGATTGCATTGGTAAATGAGATGATAAATCCCAGGAAGTCTCCTTTTCTGTGACCTGCCATTTAAACCAATTTTGCCATTAGGATTCAGATGGTAGTTTGAGGGCTTTTGTTCTGCACAAATTCTGGGATTTGATGCCACATAAATTCTGTGATGGGGTACTCACATCCAGGTAGAGTAGAGGGAAAGAGAATCCTGAAGGACCATGAGTGATTAGAATCACAGAATGAACACAAGTCTTTCATAAGTAATAAGGGAGAATTATCATTAAGACCCCAGTAGAAATCTTGTGTGTTCTTGTGGCAATCTCTCTCCTTAATCCCCAAATAACTGAAGAAATTACTAGTCATACCTAAGTCCAAGAAACATAGTAAGAGGAGAGGAAAATAATGGTATCACTAGAATAATGCCATGAACCGCACAGTGCAGATATAATTAGATCCATTGGACAAATGAGCAAACCAGGATTCTAAAAAATTAAATAACTTGCCAGAAGTCACAGAATGAGTTAGTATCAGAGCCAGACCAGAACTCAAAATTTCCTAACTCCTAGTCTCATTGACTTTCTGCTATACTATGAATATAAAGTGTATACTAGGTAGAATTTGGATAAAGATACACTTTACCATTCAGGCTTCAGTTTCCTCGCTTCTAAAATGAGGGATTTGGGCTATGGTCCTTCCCAGCTTAAAAAGACTTTGAGCCTTATGTGACCAGGGATATCTTTTTTCAATTCTCATCACACTTGTTTTCCACAGATTGATGAAGAGTGGTTCACTGTTGCATTGGCCTCAAATGTGACATCTAAGATTGAAAAAGGAGGTAGCTTCAGAAAGTATATAAAAAGTGTCAGTGATCATCATGTTTTTCTTAGCTCAGAGTTCTTGAAAAGGTAAGTGCTACCTGTGTTAGTGGATATTGAAATGGAGAGAAAAACCTAGGTAATAGTTCTGGGATCCTTAACCCTCATAGGCTGAGCCAGGAGTCAATTAGACTCAAAGAAAAAGAAATTAAGAGGCTACATACATATTTGAAGCTTGGGTGCAGTGGTGAAGGACGGTGCTGATTAATAGTATTTTTATATGAAGCTGGGTTTTTTAATCATCCCGTGGGAGAACTACCATTTCCTTTCTGTTCCAAACCTCCCTGAGTCACCAGTCTCCATTTTGTAGTAGAGATGGGATACCTGAGGCCCCTCTGCTAAGAAGATAGAAAGCAGAGTGAGAGGGAAGAAAGATATGCACTTAATTCACATATTTGCAGTGCCTTATTTAGCCATTCCCCAATTGATGGGAATCAACTTTGCTTACAATTCTTTGCTACTCCAAAAAGTACTATCAATATTTCTTTTAATAAAGGATCTTTCTTTTACTCATTTACATTCTTGAGATATATAGTTAGCCTTGGGATCTCTGGGTCAAAGGGTTTGGACATTTTAATCCTTTTCTTAGCAAAATTTCAAATGGTTTTCCAAACCAATTGGACCAATTTACAGCTCCAAAAATAATTCACTTGCTCTATCTTTGTCCAGACATTATAAAATAGACTATTCTTATATTTTGTCATCTTTGTCAATTAGCTAAAAAAGCAGTAAATCCTCACAGTTTTTTTTAATTGCATTTCTCATTTTATTAGTCATTCGGAGCATGCATTCCTTGGTTGTTAATGGTTTGTAGTTTTTTTTCTGATAATTTTTATTTATATTTACACTTAGGCCAATTAAGTACCTCGTGGATAGAGCACTGGGCCTCTGGTCAGGAAAACCTGAGTGCAAATTTGGCCTGAAACACTTACTAGCTATGTGATACCAGTCAAGTCATTTCACCTCTGTTTGGGTCAGTTTCCTTATCTGTCAAATGGTAATAATAATAGCACCTATTTATCATAGTTGTTATAGTGATCAAATGAGGTAATATATGTAAATTGCTCAGCACAATATTTGGCACATAATAAACACTTTATAACTGTTATTGTTGTTATTATTATTATTACATCCTTCAAATGTTTTTCTATTGGGAAACAGTTTTGGGTCTTATATATTATTATTAGTTACCTCTATATTTTGAGTATTTTAAACTTAAATGTATTTGATTCAAAGGTTTTTTCCTTCCCACATGACTGCTTTCTTCCTCATTTTAATTATTTTATTTTGTTTGAGCAAAAGCTTTTCTTTTTCATTTAGTAGAAAATGTCCTCCTAGATATAGTTATGAAATGTACTTAATATGATTTTCTGCTTATTTTTATGACCATTAATATTCAACCATATATCTCTTTGAGTTGTGGTATAAACTTACAGTATAACATTGTCTTAAACCTAATCCCTGCCAGACCACTTTCCTATTTTCCCAGAAATTCTTATCTAATAAAAAGTTCTTTTCCAGGTAATTTATATTTTCAGGTATGCCAAAAGCTGATTCTTCCTTGTCCTGTCTTTTTTTCCTGATCTACTTTTCTATCTTTTAAAAAATGAATATGTGAAGATCGAAGCATACTATTTGCTATTTTTTTTCTTCTGTTTTGTTTTGTTTTCTCTTTCCTGTGGATGCCCTTGTTGATTCTAATTCTTCTTTACAACATCACTAATGTGAAAATATGTTTAATAGGAATGTATATGTATAACACATACCAGATTCCATACCATCTTGGGGAAGGAAGCTGGGAGGGAAGAGGAGAAAAATTGAAAACTCAAAAGCTTATGGAAGTAATTGTTGATATATTAAAATGAATTAATAAAAAATTATCCATTTTGTATTTCATAATGTTCTCTATCTCTTGTTTGGTTGCAAATTCTTCCCTTCTCCATAGATCTGACAGGTAAACTATTCCTTGCTCTCCTACTTTGCTTATAGTATCAGTCTATATTGTGTATATATTGTATAAAATACAATAACAAGTTTATATTTATATATAGTTTTTTAAAGAAGTTATAGGTTTTATTCAACATGAGCTTATGAGGTAAAAAAAGAACATTAATATCCCTATTTTGCAGATGAGTTCCCTAATTCTCAGAAAGGTAAAAAAGACTTGCTTTCTCTAGGTCACACAGTTAGTAAGTTAGTACAGTTAGTAAGTTAGTAAGGGGAAGAGACTGGATTTGAACCTTAACTTCTGTTGACTTATGGAAAGCCCAATGATTATCTGAAAGTATTTTTAGACAGAATTACTAAAGAAAGAGCTCTTCTGTCTAATCCAGCATTCTTCTAATTGTGTATCATCATATCTACTGCACCAGAGATTCCAGATTTTCAAAGTATTCCAATTTTTTTTAAAATTTAACAATTTTTAAATGGGAACCTCAGTTTAATCTTTTCTGAAAAGGATTGGCCTTGGATTCAGCATTGTTTATAATATTATTGTAAGAAATAAAAAGTATACATTTTGCAGATAAAATTAAAATTACTAAGATAAATGCCTGAATGCCACAAGGTATTTCCTAGCAAAATTTCCTTTGCAAAGATGGGATGTTCTTATAATCCTAATCTTTATTTCCAGGGCAAATGGCAAATGCATTCAATTTACTTTGAATACTTCCATAGGAGAAGATGGTGAAATGCGTCTGCAACGTAAGCATAAATGAACATCTCAATGTCTTTCAGTATTATTCTGAAATGAATTAATCGATGCAGTGATTAACAAAGAAGTGAATAATGGCCAAAAACTATACAAAAATGCTGTTTTGCAGATGTCCCTGCACTACCCTAACTTGACTTCATTATGACTGCACTATGCAAAGCCTAGATCAGACACTTTGACCTACTCACTTCCTCCTTACAGAGCTCTAGAGGTCTGATTAGCCCTTATGTGATTGAAATGGAAAGTAACTCACTGTGTAGCCTTGCACAAGTGTTTTGTCCTCCCTTGGCCTTAGTTTCCCCATCTATAAAGTGAGGTGGCTGAACTAGTTGGTTTACCAAGTTCCTTCCATTTCTAACTTTTTGTGACTCTAGAGGCAGATAAGAGAAATGTTGAAAAAAAATATAGGTCTGTCAACAGAATTGCAGTTTAGTTGGCATGACAGAGCATATAACAGAACTGAGGTTTCCAGAAAACCTTGGAAAAGGCCTTTGCATGAAGTTTAACTACTAATAAGTCTTAAGTCTTTGCCTTTGTTCCCATAGTTTCAAAATTTTGACCTGACCTTTTGAATCCTTCACAGATGATGGACTGAATAATCTCTCCATTCAAAGTAGAGGCCCTGGATATATGATGGTTCTCTTGAATAATATCAAAGATGAGGAGGTAACTGTTTTGGTAGAACTCTATGGTATGCATCCTAAGATCCTGCACTAATATACTTCCCCTTCTCTTTTTCTTAAGCAGAGTACTAAAGGAAAATAAGTTGCATCATTTTAGCATTGGGTGTGACCCAAACTGTGTTTGACTACAATTCACAAGCCTGAGATCAACAAGAAAATAAAAGCTTCCCGGTACAGCAAACTGTCCATGCTGAGCTTCCTTCAGTAATGTCTGAAGGCAGCTCTGAGCCTTCAGTAGAATTCAAGCTTTATAAGAGCCAGGTCCACTGATTTTTGTCTTCATATCAATATCTAGAACAGTATTTGGCACAAAGAAATAGTGAGAGAGAGAGAGAGAGAGAGAGAGAGAGAGAGAGAGAGAGAGAGAAGACAAAGAGAGACAGAGAGACAGCGAGAGAGACAGAGAGAGAGAGACAGAGAGAGAGAGAGAGAGAGAGGGAAAGGAAAGGAGAGAAAGGGGGAGGGGAAGAGGGGGGTGGGGAGAGAGAGATGTCCCAGTGTAAATCTTTCTCTGTGCTCTGAAAATAGTAAGTGTGAATTAATTATTCTTTGTTGGTTACCCCAAGCCCCTTGCTAGCAAAAGAAATGTGAGGAGGGAGGAGGTCTCTAGCCTAACACTGAACCATTAAATCTATTTCTTTTCCCTCTTTGGTGTTCCATTTTTGTCATTTTGGGCTGTATTCACTGAATGACAAATATAAATTGGCAACAGAATGATTAATCATGTTTATCCTAAAATCAGACTTTAAAGTCAGGCAAGCAGAAAGGTAAAATCTCCTAAGAGACAGAAATAAATTTTGGGAAGGATACACTCCTTCTCTGGAGAGATTGAAGGAATGTGGAGAAGGGAGATGAATAATAAACAGTTCAAGTCTCAGGAATCTTAATGGTTTTAACAACGTAATCCTGTGCTATGTTTTTCTTCATTGCTGTATCACATGCCCCTGGCATCCCAGATTTGCTCCTCACACCTCCCAGTCTCTCTCAGTCTCCGAGATGACTGTTGGTTGCCCATGCTGGATTGCCCTTCATTCTCATCTCCACCCCCTAGATTCCCCTTCAAGGCTCTTCTTAAGTGCTATATTCATTAAAAGGGCACTTTTCCAGATAATTGCCTTCCCTCCACAAAAATTTACTTTGTACTTATATTTCATATTTCTTATGTAATAAATGTTTGGACCTTGTAATCCCAGGAGGTCACACTTGCATTTAGTTATTTGTGAAAATGTTTCTTTCTAGAACATTGTGAACTCGAGCAAAAGAGTTCCCTTTCCTTTGTCTTTGCATCACTAATGCTTCACATAGTACTTGGCACCTAGTAGGTCCTTAATAAATGCTTGTTAATTGATTTGCTGGATAATAGGGAATCTTCTTTCATCTTTTATTACTGGTTGCATCAAATCCTGGGACATATGATAGTTCCTATTCTTGAAGTTATTAGCTCAGTCACCCAGATCAAAGGTATAGGCCCCTTCCCTTCTACTCTGCATCCCACATTCACTTAGTTACATCCTTTTCTGTGTATTGTTGAAAGCGATCAGTGAGAAAGACTCAGCAGCCATTCTCACTTTCAACCTAAATATAGGCCGTACTCCAGATCTGCCAGATGAAATAAAGAAGAAATTTGAGGAAATATGTGAAAAATTTGGAATTAGGGAGGATCAAATTATAGACATCTCCAGTGATGGTAAGCTCTGCGCATCTCTGTTTCTTCTTGATTTTCCCTTTGTCACTGGGAAGGGAGAATTCCATAGAATGGAAACACCCCATGTTAACTCCCCTTGTCCTCATCCAGACAATCTTATTTCCCTTTTCTCTGGGACAATGATGAAAACTCTGAGAAGTATTCATGTCTGAGATTCACTGGTTATCTTGCTTTGTTTTCACAGATCGATGTGAGGAGCTTAGGTAAGTTAGTTCACCCTGGCATGAGGTTTGTAAACTTTGGCCATGGGATTGTTACCTGAGTCATATTTCTTTAGAAAACCACAGCAAGTTGCTCTGGTCTTCAACTATATAAAGTGGGATAGATATAGATCAACATGGGGTCACCCTCCTAGATTCCAGGTGCTGTTAAACTCCTCAGCAGTTTTTGCCTTCTCTTTGATCATTCTGACATTTTCTGGTAAATCAAGTACTTGAAGAGGGGCAGTGAGGGTGATTCACATTCTCTTTTTCCTAAAGGCTATCTTAATTCTGTCCCTTCCTTTTTTCTCTATCTTCCAAAAGTTGATGTATATGAAATACATATGAGGATGTGGAATTGTCAGAGGGATGGGACTTGGAGGAAAGATATGGAAAGGGATCAAACCAATGATTTGGGATATTGTGTTAGGAAATGGAGTAAGTATATAGGTGAAGTTTTGGGATGGTGATTAGAGTGACAATTTGGGTCTGTGATCTATTCAATGTAAACCATTAAATTGATCCATCTAATTAAAAAAATAATTTTTTTGTTTCTCAACTGCCCAAAGATGTTTGTCTTTGTTTCCTAGCTTGACAGTTTTAAGAATAAGGATTTTATTTGGCTGCTTTTAATCCTCATTATTCTCAGTGGGCTCCCCACTCTAGACAATATTACTGAATGTCCTGAAGTCTATACTTCCCTAGCTACCTTCTCATGGGTCAGAATTACCTCCAGGATGTGAATTTCTTATCTCTGTTCCAAGCTCTACCTTACAATTCCTTACTTACAATTCCCAAGTCACATTGTGATAATGTATAACCAGGATTCTTTCATTGTCTTACAGAAATTCCTAGGATGAAACATCTCTATGTTTCTGTGATCCACTCCTACTTCCTCCAAAGGAATGTTATTATGGGTGACGTAAATTTCTACTGGCTTCTTTCCTCCAAACTCAAGGGGGATACTATTTCTACCCCTCTTTGCTATGCCTTATCTGATTCTTCCTTCACAACATGATTAATGTGGAAATATGTGTAACATAATTGTACTGGTGATATCAGATTGTAGGCTGTCTTGGGGAAGCAGAAAGGGATTGAGGGAGAAAATTTTAAATTCAAAATCTTATAAAAGTGAATGTTGAAAACTAAAATAAATAAATAAATCAATTTAAAAATTGTTTTTACTTTTAACTGGGGAAATATAAAATACCAAATAAAAATAAAATAAGAAAAAAGAACAATTAACATATTAAAAACTTGTAGAAGTATCAAGAAGTAATGTATAAGAATATATTCTTGGAAGAAAGATTGCTTTTTATTTCAAAGTGTCTTTTTCTTAAGACAATTTCAATTCAACTACATAAACATTTATTCCTTCAAAAAAGAAACATGCTTTTTAAAAATTTTTCTGTTTTCTGTTTTCTTTTTCTTTTTTCAGCCAAAGACAAAGTTTATTAGAACATCAGTCATATTGGGCAGGCTCTTAAGGAGTCTGAATACTAGTAAACTACTGGCTAGATTATAAGAATCTAAGCTATGCTTAGATTTTAAGAATCTAAGCACCTTAATGGAGACAAGATGGACTTTATGTACAGAAAGACTGTGGGAGGGATCTGGGAGTGGCCAAGAAGCTTGGGGTGACTGTAGGAGGGGTCTAAGGAGGTCTGGATGGGAGTGACCAGAAAACTGGGGTAAACAGAGCCCCTGGGACCTGAACCACATGGCCAAGGGAGAATGGAGCCTAGTTAGGATTAAGGGTGGGAAATGACCAGGGCCATAGGGAACAGAGATTGGGTGTAGCCACAATAAAAGGCTAATTGATGGGACTATAGTCTCAGGGGAACACCAGAGATTTGGCCTTGTGGGAAAATCCAGAATTTTTCCTTTTTAGGGTCTAGATCCTGTTTTGTGTTTTCTTTCACAACTTAATATGTAATTATTCTTTGCATAACTGCATATGTATAACCTATTTTAAATTGCTTGCCTTCTCAAAATAGGGTTAGGAAAGGTATGAAGGGAGAGAATGTGGAACTCAAACATTTAAGAAATGAATGTTAAAATTAGTTTTTCCAAGTAATTGGGGAAAATAAAATATTAAATTTTTAAAGGCTACAGAGAAAGATAAGTATTAAAAAAAAGTCCATTAGGTTTGTCAGTCAAAAGATTTTTGGTAGCTTTGAGAGGGATTTTTCATTTGAATGATGTGGTTGGAATTGACAGCAAATAGTTTAGAAGAGAGTGAGAGGAGAAGAAATGAAAGCAATTGAGTGTAGATGACTTTCTCAAGTAGATTAGTCATGAAGAGGAGGAGAGCTATAGGAAAAGGAGATTAAAGCAGGTGAATATTTTTTTTTTGAGAATGAGGTAGACATGAATATGTTTAAATACAGCAGGGATGTAACCAGTAAGAAGGGAAAAGTTGAAGATGAGAGAGAGAGAGAGAGAGAGAGAGAGAGAGAGAGAGAGAGAGAGAGAGAGAGAGAGAGAGAATGTTAGTGGAAGCAATCTGCTGGAGAAGTCTAGAGATAATAGGATCATAGATGCATGTTGCATGATTGGTTTTAGCAAGAATTGTTTCTTTATCTAAGACTAGATTAAAGTAACAGAAAATGAGGAAATATGGTATGGTATAGTATGAGATGAGGAGGTAGGGAAGACAAAGAGATAAAATGATGGTGTGAGAGATGAACTCTCAGAAGTGAAGTCTCCTCAAAAGGTCAATAATTTTTTATTATTATTTTCAAAATCCTCTCCTGCTCAGACCCTGTTTCTAAGCACTTAACAAAAGAATAAGCCCTGTCCCATCCCCAACCTGAGCCATTTGCCCTTGGCTTCCCGCCTCTTTCCTTGTCTTTGAATTTCTCGCCTGGAATGTAAGCCCCAGTTAACAGGATAGTAAGAAACTTTTGAGTTCAGAATGTAAGCCCCACCTCGCAGTTAGAATGTAAGCCCCCCCCCCAGTTAAGGGGAATACCGGATAGCTGTGGGTGGAGACTTGTTTGCATGGGTGGGTGGGGACTTGTTTTTATAAGGCGTCCTTTATCCCTGACCAGACTCTCTCTCCATGTGTATCGGAGCAGCACACAGCCATCTGAGACTGTAATAAAGGTAACCTTTGCTTTCCACCTTGAGAAGTCTCTGAGTTTAATTTGGGTTAGGGTTGCTGTCCCACACAATGGGAAAAATTGATGGGAAACCTCGAAAGATGAAGTAGAAAGAATGTGTGGCAGAAGGGCAATAGACAAAAAGAGAAAGTGGTTACAGCAGACAAATGAGAGATGGAGAAGGGCCAGGAATCTTGGAAATGAAGACCTGAGTCAAAGGTCCTGGTTATACTTGGAGGAATGAGGGAGGTTCCAAGAAAAGAGCAGGAGAGGCTCTGCTTTTGCCTAAATTCCCCTGCCTGATGTCTGTCCTTTAAAAGACATTGTAATGTACTTTGAACATTTCTGTACCCTAACATTTACACTAAGCTGAATGTTCTCCTCAAATGGCTACCATTTGAAGCAAATGGCTAGCTGGAGATCCTTTTGACCATTTTGCACTCTACTCACCAGGAAATCCCCTACACCAATGAAAACCAGAAGACTGTGGGCATACTTTAGTGGTTCTGAGGCCATAGTTACAAATGGCTTATTAAAATGGCCAGACAAGTTAATACCACTATCAAATGTACATTAATGAACCTGTTTTCCTTTAGCTATTTCCTTTTTTGTCATTTTGGAGAACCTGATGCACAGGAATTAAAAGCTCAGAGGTTGCCGTAATTTGCACATCTATAATTATTTGTGATTTTGGATTATTTCTTTTTCATATGTCTATTCAAGTATTGGATTTCTTCAACTGAAAATTATATGTTCATATCCTTGGACTGTTTATTGATTGTGTAATGTTTATTTTTCTTATAAATTCTCATCAGTTCCTAATATATTTTAGAAATGAGATTTTTATATATTTAGAGAATCCTAGAGAATCAAGTAAAAAACTACTTGAAATAATGAACAACTTTAACAAAGTGGCAGGCTATAAAATAAACCCCAACAAATAATTGGCATTTCTATATATTACCAACAAAGCCCAACAGCAAGAGATAAAAAGAGAAATTCCATTTAAACTTACTGTAGACATTATCGAATATTTAGGAGTCTACCTCCTGAAACAAATGCAGGAACTCTATGAACACAATTACAAAATACTTTTCACACAAATAAAATCAGACCTAATAATTGGAAAAACATCAGTTGCTCATAGGTAGGCCAAGCTAATATCATAAAAATGACAATTCCACCTAAACTAATATACTTATTCAGTTCCACACCAAATTACCAAAAATTATTTTATGGAGTTAGAAAAAATAGCAAGATTCATTTGGAAGAACAAAAGGTCCAGAATATCAAGGGAACTAATGAAAAGAAATGCAGGGGAAGGTGGCCTAGCAATTCCAGGTCTTAAATTGTATTAGAAAGCAGCAATCATCAAAAGTACTTGATACTGGCTAAGAAATAGAGTGGTGGATCAGTGGAATACGTTAAATATGCAAGACACAGTAGTCAATGACTATAGTAATTCTATTATTTGATAAACCCCCAAGACCCCAGCTTCTGGGATAAGAACCCACTCCTTGAAAAAAAAAACTGCTGGGAAAACTGGAAAACAGCATGGCAGAAACTAGGCATAGACTAAAATCTAACACTATATACCAAAATAAAGTCAAAATGGGTTCATGATTTAGATATAAAGGCTGATACTATAAGCTAACTGGGAGAGCAAGGAATAGTTTACCTATCAGATCTATGAAGAACAGAAGAAGCCATGACCAAACAGGAGATAGAGAACATTATGAAAAGCAAAATGGATAACTTTGATTATATTAAATTGAAAAGTTTTTGCACAAACAAAACCAATGTATCTAAGATTAGAAGAAAGGTAGAAAACTGGGAAAGAATTTTTACAACCAGTCTCTCTGATAAGGGTCTCATTTCTAAAATATATAGAGAATTAAGTCAAATTTATAAGAATACAAGTCATTCCCCAATTGATAAATGGTCAAAGGATATGAATAGGCAGTTCTCAGATGAAGAAATTAAAGTACTTATAGTCATATGAAAAAATGCTCTAAATCACTGTTGATGAGAGAAATGCAAATCAAAACAGCTCTGAGGTACCGCATCACACCTATCAGATTGGCCGAGATGACAAAACAAGAAAATGATAAATGTTGGAGAAGATGTGGGGAAATTGGAACACTAATGCATTGCTGGTGGAGTTGTGAACTGATCCAACCGTTTTGGAGAACAAGTTGGAAGTATACCCAAAGGGCTATAAAAATGTGCATACCCTTTGACCCAGCAATAGCACTTCTAGGGCTATGTTCCAAAGAGATCATACAAATGGGAAAAGGACCCACATGTATAAAAATATTGATAACAGCTCTTTTTTTGTGGTGGCAAAGAACTGGAAATTGAGAGGATGCCCATCTATTGGGGAATGGCTGAAAAAGTTGTGGTATATGAATGTAATGGAGTACTATAATGCTATAGGAAATGATGAACAGGCTGACTTCAGAAAGGCCTGGAAAGACTTGTATGCTGCACTGCTGAGTGAGGTGAGCAGAACCAGGAGAATGTTGTGCACAATAGCAGCCACATTGTGCAATGACTAACATTGATAGACTTAACCCTTCCCAGCAATGCAAGGATCTAAGACATCTCTGAGGACCTCATGATGGAAAATGCTGTCCACATCCAAAGAAAGAACTATAGAGTTTGAATGCAGATCAAAGCATAGTATTTGCTATTTTTTTTTTGTTCTGTTGAGTTTAGTTCCCTCTTTCTGGTGGTTCCTCCTATTGGTTCTAATTCTTGCTTGCAACACCACTAATGTGAAAACATGTTTAACAGGAATGTATATGTAGAGCCTATATCAGATCATGTGCCATCTTGGGGAGGATGGTGAGGAGGAAGGGGGAGAAAAAATTTAAACTCAAAAGCATATGGAAGTGATTTTTGACAAATCAAAATTAATTAATAAAAAAGGGGGGGAATGAAAAAAAAAGAAATGAGACTTTTTCAGAAAGACTTGCAGTAAAGATTCTTTACCTGTTAATTGTTTTTCTTCTTTTTTTTTAA